GGTAAGTGTCCAGTTTTCATAAAGAGTTCAAATGACTACTCATGACAATTGGTTTCCTTTTCCCTTGCAGGTATAAGGATATAAGGACAGATGAACTGCAGATGGCAGAAGGGCAGGTAGGGGAATCCAGGTAAGTACTTCAGATGAGTAGACAGGTTAATGTTCACCAAAACTTCAGAAGATATCAAACTTCACCATCCATTAGTGATGGGACAATTGATACCGCAGCTCCAATGCAGTTTTCAAACCACTATTGTATCACACACTGTGCCGATGCTTGTATCGAAATGACAACACCACATGATTGACGACATTTGAAGCTTCGAACGTCATGCAGTATCGGAAGGTCGGGACAGCTGGTTTGAAAAAACTGGCGCTTCACGATCCCACCTGATGCATAAAAGGATTATTCAGTCACTTTGAGGGCTGTCAGTGTTTGGCCTTTCATTGTGGCAAGCCTAAGGCACACCTGTGCAATAATCATGCTGTCTAATCAGCATCTTGATATGCCACACCTGTGAGGTGGATGGCTTATTTGGGCAAAGGAGAAGTGTCACTAACACAGATTTAGACAGATTTGTGAACAATATTTGAGAGAAAAAGGCCTTTTGTGTACATAGAAAAAGTCTTAGATCTTTGAGTTCAGCTCATGAAAAATGGGGGCAAAAACAAAAGTAGTAGACAGGTTAATGTTCACCAAAACTTCAGAAGATATCAAACTTCACCATCCATTAGTGATGGGACAATTGATACCGCAGCTCCAATGCAGTTTTCAAACCACTATTGTATCACACACTGTGCCGATGCTTGTATCGAAATGACAACACCACATGATTGACGACATTTGAAGCTTCGAACGTCATGCAGTATCGGAAGGTCGGGACAGCTGGTTTGAAAAAACTGGCGCTTCACGATCCCACCTGATGCATAAAAGGATTATTCAGTCACTTTGAGGGCTGTCAGTGTTTGGCCTTTCATTGTGGCAAGCCTAAGGCACACCTGTGCAATAATCATGCTGTCTAATCAGCATCTTGATATGCCACACCTGTGAGGTGGATGGCTTATTTGGGCAAAGGAGAAGTGTCACTAACACAGATTTAGACAGATTTGTGAACAATATTTGAGAGAAAAAGGCCTTTTGTGTACATAGAAAAAGTCTTAGATCTTTGAGTTCAGCTCATGAAAAATGGGGGCAAAAACAAAAGTGTTGCGTTTATAATTTTGTTCAGTGTAAAAGTTACATTGTTTATTTTAGGTCCGCTGTAAAATCAGCTTGCAGCGCCCAAACAAACATTTTTGCACATGTGAAGGATTTTACACGTATATTAGAACATGAGTGAAGTATAAAGCCATGTTTGGGCTACATAATGAATAATAGTTATGCAAACAAATGTGACAAATATGGCAAAAATGGAAACATTTGGATTCTTGTGGAATGAGACAGGCTCATGAGCCCAATGCCGTTTCAGCTTTGCTTGACATTTGTATGCTGTTTATAATGAATGCCACTTGCCTAATTTGTGTTTTATTGTATAGTTTAATATATAATTTTATAACTACTTATTTTTAATTATTGTTCTGTTCTGAATACCGTTAAATTTAAAATATTTGTTGTAGAGTGAGGGGAACTAAATAGGCTGTTTATATTTACCAGTATTTTAATATACATATAAATTGCATAAATTAATGTAGCCTAATTGTTTGCAATTACAAGGTTAACGGGTGTTTTTGGAGTAAGATCAATTTCTCTTTCATGAGATTACTTCCTCTTTTTGACTGGGATTTGTTTCTCCGTGTCGTAAATTCTAAGGGCGAGGCTTCTAAACCAGGGTGTTTTAGGGGCGTGATATTCAAATGACGATTGTTTTCTGCCGCCACATTTATCAACATACGATCATTCGTATGATGAGATTGTATGGAAGAAAAATAATGCCATATGTCTTTGAAACAAAAAAGCATGTTGAATAGCACTAACTGAAAAAATTCATTCGTTTCCACAAATTCAGTAGTTAAAATTCGACAGAAAATTTGGCATTGCATATCCGGGAGCTGCAAGAATAGCAGTAGAGCACTGATGCATGATCTCCAGCTGCTGTCAGTTGCTCACCAGCAGGTGGCACAAGCGGCTGTTGATGAAGACCAAAGCAACAGGTGGATTAAGTCATTCATTCACAAAAACTGATTTGCAGAAATGGAGCAAGCACTAAGTAGAAGTTTTGATTATCGGGGCCAGTATAAACATGTGGAAAAGCTGATTGTGTGTATGTTTAATTCAACATCTTCACTGTTTCCCTGTACTCTACATGTAAGCAGCTTTCTCTACCACATAGGAGATTATAATGCTATTTTACCCAACGCTGATGTACAGAACTAACATTACATCTGAGGAAGACATATATTGCTTTCAGTTGCTTAGTTTCCTTTACTTGTATCATGGCTTGTGTGAAGCTGTGCTTACCCTCATAAGTCACACTCCAGGATTCCCCAACGAGGCTAAAGCGCCTCAGTGAACTAATACAGTGATATAAGACCTCAGATCTCAGAATACACTTTATTGATGATTATGCGAACTATATACAGTATTGCTGCAAATTTAAACCGGAGAAAGCATTGACGTGCTATCACACACAAGGGACTGTCTGACAATTCCACCGACTGGGTTCAAACGTCCAATGTATTTTAAATAAAATGACTTTTAACATTTAAAATAACACACTGTCATATTGTAAAGCTCGTATTGCTTATAGTGATTTACTACAGGTGAGATTTTGCCAATACCTCCCTTCATATCTGTACAGTACACAATTATTTACATATAAAAGATCCCTGGAAAGGGTTTTTTTCATGTTCCAACGATTGTAGTACGTTGCTAGATACAAGACTAACTTAGGCTACTACAGGTTAGATTTTGCCAATATCTCCCTTACCGTATGTACAGTACACAAATATATGTTTTAAAAAACTACAGTAATTCACAAAAAGGGTTTTTTCATGTTCCACTGGTTGTAGTATGTTGTTAGTTACAAGACTGACTTTATGTGAAACTTTGCCAATATCTCCCTTACTGTATGCACCATTCACAATTATTTAAAACAAACAAAAAAAAATCTGTAGGACCCCAAAATGGATTTTTCATGTTCCAAAGGTTGTAGTATCAAATATTGATGTACTTTATGTACAGTAAGGGAGGTATTAGCAAAATGTCTTAATCTTCCTTAAGCGTAAATGAGCAACTGTATTTAAAATGCTAGAAAAAAGAGAGTCCATAGTTTCTGTTACATCATCAAGCTGTTCTGAGATTTTGGATATGCTAAGTAATTGGGATAAATCAGGAAGATTACTTAGAAAGCAGTCTTTTGTGGTAGAAGTGATGGTTCTACCATACTTGTAACAAGGAGTAGAATTTACAGTTTTAGCTATATGAAGTTTGCACAAGAAAGTCGAACATCATTAGCGCCGGCGTGAATAACAATATTACTGTATTTACGGTTAGCATTAGCCAGCACTTTTAAATTTGCCAAGATGTCAGACGCTCTGGCTCCCGGTAAACATTGGACTATAGTGGCTGGTGTCTAGCCTCACAGTCACCCAGTTGCCCTGCTGCGGAGGCTGTTACCGGAACCGAACAATGTACAGGACTACCTGAGCTAGTCGCATCCAAAGTCGTATCTAGAGCCCTCACATTCTTACTGTCCTCAATTAAAGTTTGGATGCGTGTCTCTAATTCTGAAATCTTCTCTGTCAGCCTGACTATTTCCCTGCATTTATCACATGTGAATCCCTCGTTGCCGACAGAGAGAGAGATATGGTGGGAATTAAGTTATATTTTATCACTTTAAACAACGGAGAGTGATAGAGATTTTACAGAAAAAAAAAGCTACACGGAGCTACGATCACAAACCAGCACTGCAAACAGGAAGCAGGAATAACACTGTCCAACAGCGACACCCGCAGGTAGGTCTGGTCACTAGTAACATACAACATTTGGAACACGATCACCCATTTTGGTGATTTTTTTCTTAAAAAATATTTGTGTAGTGTATTCTACATCTGCTTAACTGTCGGTATAGTTCGCATCATCAGTAAAACTTTTTCTGAGATCTGAGGTCTTATATCACTGTATTAGTTCACTGAGGAGCGTTACGCGTTGTTTAGGAATCCTGGAGTGTGATGTATGAGGGGTAATATAGTTCACTGAGGCGCTTTACAAGTCGTTGGGGAATCCTGAAGTGTGACATATGAGGGTAACCACAGTATTACAGCACAGCGTCACACAAGCCATGATACAAGTAAAGGAAACAAACAACCGAAAGCAATATATGTCTTCCTCAGATGTAATGTTAGTTCTGTACATCAGTGTTGGGTAAAATACAGTGGTGTATAAAGTACCTGAAAGCCATACTCAAGTAAAAGTACAGATATCTTACCAGAAGTAAAATAGCATTATAATATCCTTTGTGGTAGAGAAAGCTGCATACATGTAGGCTACGGGAAACAGCAAAAATATGTTGAATTAAACACACACAATCAGCTTTTCCACATGTTTATACTGGCCCCGATAATCAAAACTTCTACTTAGCGCTTGCTCCATTTCTGCAGTTCTGTTTTTGTAAATGAATGACTTATCGTTTCTACGTTAGATTGATGAGGCCCAATGTCACATACCTTGGGATAAAGGTGTGTAAAGATTTTAATCAAAGAAGCCTGTTAAATTTTGACCCTATTATTGAGAAAATTAAAAATAGATTCAATATATGGCTTATGAGAGATCTGTCCCTATATGAACGTGTTCTACTATCAAAAGCAGAAGGGATTTCAAGGTCTGTTTATATATCTATGTCTGCAGATGTTCCAAACAATGTTGTCAGGGAATTAGATAAGATATTTTATGATTTTATTTGGAGGAAGAAAATACACTATTTACGGAAAGATATTATAAATAATAATAGAGACTTTGGTGGCCTTGAAGTTTTAAATTTTACAGATCTTAATAATGTGTTTAAGATAAAATAGATAATTGAATTTATTAAAAATAAAGATGTACGGATCTTGTGTAGATGTGTATGGAATGTTGTCCCCAATTATATATTTAACTCTTTGGTGACATTTTTTTTTTTAATGTAATTTTTCGGTTGAAAAAAATCCCAGTTAAACTGGCAAACTTTCATAAGCAGGCACTGCTGGCTTGGCAATTAATCTATAAACATAACTTTTCACCGCATCGATATGTTATATGGAATAATAAAGATATCCTGTAAAAAAAAAAAAAATCAATCTTTAATCAGACATGGTATGACAATGGAATTCTTACTGTTAGTCAGTTGCTTAATGAACAAGGTCTACTTTTACCATATTCCGAATTTCTCAATAAATTTATGATCCCTGTGAGGCCAAAAGAATACTCTAGTATCCTTGATACAATCCCTGGCAGAGCTGTATCACTATTACGAAATCCTGGATTCTCTCCTGTAAACGTTGATCATCAAACCAGTTTTTGTAGTGATACAATATTTATTGGGAATATTAATATAGTAATAGATAAATGCAGTAACAAATATATTAGAAATATTTTAAAAACAAACTATTTGCCTTGCTCAACAGTGTTTTTTTTAGGTCTACAAAATATGAATATGTTAACTGGAAAAAAGTATGGTCAATAACAAATGTTTTTTTATTAATAATACAATTAGAGAGGTATCCTATAAAATTTCACACAAAAATTACCCTGTCAATGAGTTGCTTGAATGTTTCAATTTGAATCTTGAAAACGTATGTGAATTTTGTAGCAATGCCAAAGAATCTGTGTGTTAGGGTGTACAGAAAGTGTAGGTGTTAAATCAAAGACGATGAAAAAGAATATCCAGTCCAGGGTGTTTATTTTGGTGCAAAAATTGTGGTTCCCAGGCAAAATGCAAACATATAAATGTAGTGACAAAACTAGGATGAAGTAATAAAGTCAAAAATATATACAAAAACTGCACAAAGAAAATACATTTTTGAAGATGCTCAAGAGGGAATTATGGCTATGCCAATTTTCTGGCCCAAAAATACTTCAAGGTCCCCCACGCACAACAAGCTCCAAACACTCTCCTCTAAAATGACTTCCAGGAGTCCTTTTATAGTATGAGGCTCCTCCCATTTCTGGAGCATACCAAGTGGAAGTCAATTATAATTTTAAAGCAAGATGAAGCTACACAAATACACACAAAAAAGGCATTAACTTGCAACATATGCATCACACTACTGATCAAAAAGTGAATCACAAACATTGCAAACAAAAATACATGAGAAATTATCGTTTACCTGATTTTTGGTGGTATGCCTCTCAGCATTCTTAATGGCTTCAATTTTACCAATTTGTGGTCGGACCACCCCATGTCCCAGAACATACCCCAGAAATTAAGTCTCTGCCTTGGCCAGGGCACACTTGTCTGGGCGGATGGTCAATCCAGCAGTCTTTATCCTCTTTAGCACCTCTTGGAGATGCCCTAGGTGTCCCTCCTAGCTCTGGCTAAAGATGATAATATCATCCAAGTAGGCTGCAGCAAACATTTCTGTCCTCTGGAGTAGCTGGTCCATCATTCTCTGAAATGTTGCTGGAGCCCCATGAAGCCCAAATGGAAGAACCTGGAACTGAAAGTGTCCAAATGGGGTCTTAAATGCTGTAAGCTCCTTGCATTCTGGCTTCAATGGAACTTGCCAATACCCTTTGCAGAGATCAAGAGTGCGGAGGTATTTTGCTCTTCCAAGTCTTTCAACCAATTCATCCACTCTCAACATGGGATAAAGGGTCAAACTTACTGACACTATTCAGAAGTCCAGGCAAAACTGGAGAGTTCCATCCTTCTTGGTTACCAGCACGATAGGGCTGCTTCATTCACTGGTGGATGGTTCTATTACTGCCAGACTCTGCATGGTCTCGAACTCCTCTTTCATCACTGGCAGCAGCCTTTCAGGCACACAATAGACAGGCTGTCGGATGGGTTTGAGGTCGTTCAAGATGATGGAGTGGCAGATCAATTCTGTCCTACCCGGTGACTCCATGAAAAGTTGGTCAGGTAAACAACCCATCAGCTGCTGTTTCTGTTCCTCAGCCAAGTGATCGAGATTCAGCTCACTCTGGCCTGGATGTCCAGGGATGTATTGCTCTTCAACCTCCTCCTCCTCTTCTACTGCTCTGACAAATATATTGTTGTCAGTCACTGGGGCTGGTGTGCCTTCAGCCATTTTTGATGGAGGTATACGGGAATGCCATTTCTTTAACATGTTGATGTGGAAAACCTGCAAAGGCTGGCTTCTGGATGGAATCTCAATTTCGTAGGTCACTGGACCCACTTTTCGCTTCACCTCATAGGGGTCTTGCCACTTCGCCAACAACTGGTTTTCCGATGTTGGCAACAGGAAGAGGACCTTTTCACCGGGCTGGAAACTATGTTTTCGGGCTGTCTTGTCATACCACTCCTTCTGCTGGGCTTGGAACTGGTGCAAGTTCTTTTGGGCTTGAGCTGTGGTCTTTTGGATCTGCTCCCTCATCTTGAGGACATAAGTGAGAATGTTCTGCTTACAGAGCTTATGTGTGTCCTCCCAGCTCTCTTTCAGTACATCCAAGGATCCTCTAACATGATGGGCATAAAGGAGCTCAAAAGGGGAGAATTCTGCTGAGGCCTGGGGTACTTCCCGATAGGCAACAAGAAGGAAAGGCAGCCACTTGTCCCAGTCTTTGCCTGTTTCGGAGACAAACTTTTTTAGCATGGCTTTTAGGGTCTGGTTAAATAGTCCGACCAGCCCATCAGTCTGAGGGTGATATGGGGTGGTTCGCACTCTCTTTATCCCGAACAGTTGATATACCTGGTGTAGGGTATGGCTCATGAAGTTGGGACCTTGGTCTGTAATAACCTCTTGTTTTATGCCTACTTGTGAAAATAATCTCAAAAGTGCTGTAGATATCTGTTTGGCAGTGGATAAGCCTCAGGGTAACTTGTAGCATAGTCACAAATGACTAAAATTAATCTGTTCCCTGCCTGACTTCTCTTCAGTGGGCCAACAATATCCACTCATATTCTTTCAAATGGAGAGTCAACAACAGGTAATGGTATGAGTGGTGCATAAGCAGGGGTACGACCAACAGCAAGCTGACACTCCGGGCATGTCTTAGGGTACTCCTTAACCTCACTGTACATTCTGGGCCAATAAAACCTCTTGGCAATCCGCATCAAGGTTTTCATAAACCCTAAGTGACCTGCCCAAGTGATGGAGTGTCCTAGATCTAATACCTCCGTTCTCTGTGACTTGGGTACAACCAACTGTATGCCGTCCTCCTCACTTTCTCTGTACAAGAGTCCATTACTCAGTACAAATCTCTCACTCAACAAAGCATTCACCTCTTCTTTCTTCTTTACCTGCTTAAAACAGTCAGCTAAGGTGGAATCTTCATTCTGGAGCTTAGCTAGATTATTTAGATGATAATGTTTGTATCACTCAATTCAGGTTCCTCTGCCTCTACCTCAGCTTGCTCTATGTTCTCCATCAAGCTTTCCACACACTCCCTATGTAGCTGTAGCCTATCCTCCACTGTAGGTTTTGGTTAAAACCATAAACTCAGAAAAAAAGGCATTGTTTGCAGGGCCTCATCAGTCTCTTGGGATGGTGTGTCTTGTACCTTCTGCTTAGCCTGAGCCCTTGTCACTACACCACACCATGTGGTCTCCTGCACCAAATCAACCAACACTGCTAAATCTGTACCAAGCAGAAGGGGGTATGGCAGACTCTGAGCTACTCAACCTTCATGAGGTATGGCTGATTATGCACCTCAATGTAAACCACAGCTGTTGGCAAACTAGTACTGTCCCCATGAACACAACAAACAGTCACCGTTTCCTCCTCCCTCCAGCTATCTATGGGCACATGTTTGGCCTCTACCAATGTGTGGGCACAACCTGTGTCAACCAAAACTGTAAGTG